TATATGGGAAAGGGGTGTGGTCAGTGAGATGAACATCAGCTATCAACTAGCTAACACTGGGGGAAAAAAGAATATCAAAATCCATTTTATAAAAATAATTCCAGTCATTACAAAGGAATTTTCTAAACAAAACCATTAAAATTAAAGAAATATAGAATAAAATTTATATAATGTTGGATAGGGGCAACCTTCTAAACACAATTCTAGGGCCAGAAGACAAAAAGGAAAAGATTTATCCATTTTAAATTTTTTTTATTTTTTTTAGTCATTTTAATGCATTTTTCCCTGTGCACAAGAGAAATAACTGAAAGTCAAAAGATACAGTTTCCTTTATACACTGTAGTTAAAAGTAATGCAAACATCACATGACATTTTCAGTGAAAGTTACATTTCCAATTACAAATCAAAATGCGAATTGGGGTTTCTTTATGGGAGAAGCTGAGAAGGAACTCTTAGGTAAAAAGCACTTTCCTGGCATTACTACACAGATCCTTCAGGCTGCACAAAGATTAAGGTCATATACAATCAATCTGTAAATGTTGACACAATGTCACACTGTTTTCTGTACAATTAAATGTATACTTATAGATACCAGGATAAACATCATTTCTACTATATTTTAACTGAGCTTGTCTAGCCAACATTTTCACTGAGAAGTTTATCAAATATGCTGTAAGATTCTACAAAATTGTGAGACACAACTAGCTTCAGAAATATTTCCTATGTTCTTCCTCATTTTGGTTGCACATTTTCGGCTCAGAGATTCTGCTGTAATATTTCTAGATATACAGTTCCAATTGTGCTTACTATACTGTGTACAAATATAGCAAAAAAGGTCAAAGAATGATATAAATCTTACAGCATTTTACTAGCAAAAATACATGCCAAAGTCACAATAAGCAAGATTGTACCACAAATTAGAGTTTCGAATAATTTGCTTCTGTTTTTGAATATTTTCATTCTACATTAAATTACTATAATAGGCTAATGCTTAAAGGTAAATAAATTGGACATCTGTAGGATAAAACTTGTTCACCCAACTGTGACGGCTGATACCATTTTCCAAAAATCACAATAAATGCAGAATAAAGAGAGGTGTACATGCAACACCTATCAGTGAAACAGCTTTGATTCTCACCATTCAAAACAGAGAAGGAAATGGAAGGAAGGAGGGAAAGAGGGAGGGATGAAGGGACGGAGGGAGGGAGGGGAAGAGGGAAGGAGAGATGGAGGGCTGGAGGAAAGGAAGGAAAGAGGGTTGAACTACACATTGAAATACATATCAGATTTATAACTAGACAACTTTAAAAGAATCAAAATGAAAGTAAAGCACAATTTTGTGTAAAGATTTAAGCGCCATTATCAAAAATAAGATACTTTTTTCCAAGATACATAAATGTAATTAGGATGGCTGGGAGCCCAGCAGCCTCTCAATGGCTGCATTGATGTCGCCTCCTGTTGCTATTAGAGCCTGCAAGTTTGCTTCACGATTTAAGAACCCCATTGCATTGAGCTGTTCCAGTTGTTGCTGAAATCTGACTTCTGGATTCGGAAGCTGTGGAGGATTTGCTCCAGCCAGAGCCTGCACCATTTGCTGAATGAACTGCTGGTTGGGTCCAGATTCCGATGTTGGGCTCATGGTTTCACTGGGTGCAGAATTAGACAAGGTGGGCCCAGTGGAGCCTCCAGAGCCAGTGGAGCCAGGATTACTTGCAGGGCCAGTGGGTCCAATGGGTCCAATGGGGCCTATGGGGGTAAAAGGGACAATGGGGCCTATGGGACCTATGGGTGTAACAGGGCCTACAGGGCCTATAGCAGTGCCCAGCACCCCTACCCCCACACCTGGAGTGAAGCTTGGAATGAGGCCAGGTGCTTCAGTGGCTAATGTCTGTAGCCCCTGCTGAATCTGCATTAAAGCCTGCATAGCTCTTGGATTTGACATGGCTGACAGTGTGTCTGGATTCTGCATCTGCTGCAGGAAAGCTGGGAGCTGTGGACGCATCTGCTCCTGCAGCTGAGGATTTGCAGTGAACACAGGACTATTCAGCATCATCTGTGCAGCCAAATCTGGATTCTGGCTAAGTGACTGCATCATACTTCTCATGTAGGGTGCAGAGAGCATATTCTGGATCAGTTGAGGGTTTTCTGTTATCTGTTGCAGCAAGCTCTGCATTCCTGGGGTACTGAAGATGCTGGCAACATAATTGGCAGCAGCCAGAGTGTTTCCACTGGCATTGCTAGAGCTACTACCAGATCCACTGCCACTGCTGGTAACTGTGCTGGTGGTCACAGAATTCTGAGTAGCCTGTGGTGGTGCCCATGGATTAGGCAGTGGGTCTCGATTTTCTGTGCGTGAAGGCTGTGCACCTTCCCCAGAAGAGGAAGTGTTCCCCACAGAAGCAAAGGGATTACCCCCAAACTGCTCTTGTGCCGCATTCAGCATAGGTTCTTGAATGTCAGTGTACATGCGCCTTAGAGCATTGTAGCCACCTGGGATGCTTTCCAGATTGCTGAGAGCCAGGTCTTGATTTCTCATCATCTCTTGCATCATGGCTGGATTTCTGGCTATTTCGAGGGTCTGCCTCATTATATCTGGGTTGTTGAGCAGGTGACTGATTTCTGGGTTCCTTTGAATCAATTGTTGCATCTGTGGATTGGCCATAATGAGCTGCCTCATCAGGTCGGGATTGGAAAGCATGCTCTGAACAAAGGGATTTTCCATGATTTGTATCATCATCTCAGGACTGGACAGAAGCTGCTGTTGCATCTGGTTCTGGAGCTCAGAGAAGTTGGTCGAGCTCAAGCCTAGGCTGCTAAGGCCTGCAAGTCCCCCCAGGCTCCCCATCCCAAATGGGCCGCTATTTGTGGAAGTAGGTGTGGAGTTACTCCTGGGAGTTGATGCCGTGGTAGTATTAGTTCCCGCGGCATTGCTAGACTGTGTGGACTGGCCCTGAGGTCGGTTCTGGCTTTTGATGACAAGGTGAACAGTCAGTCCATCATGAATGCCGTGCTGGATCAAGGTATCTTGATCTTTTAAGATTTTTCCAGCAAAAATCAGCACTAGCTGATCGGTTTGAGATTTGAAGCGTTTCGAAATCGCTTCCTTAAATTGCCGGACTGAGCTATTCTCAGGCACAGCGAATTCCTCTTTCTCTTTGGGGGTCTTCACTGTGACTTTGATGATTTTGGGCTCTGCCGGGGCAGAGGCTGGGCCTTGGGCCGCAGCAGGGCCGCGGGAGGGGCGCGGGGGACCGCTGCTCTCGCCGTTCTCAGCCATGGCGGCCGCGGTGACGCAGGCAGGGAAGGCGCGGGCGGGCGGGCGAGAGAGAGCGAGGGAAGGAGGAAAGAAGCGCCGCCGCAGCAGGCTGGGCCCGGCCAGGCGGAGAGCGCGGAACACCGTACCTCTGTGATGAAGATTGCAGTTCCTAGGTCGTCTGGTGGGGAAAGAGCTCCGTGTAGGCCGCAACCGAGGTCTCCGCGTTCAGATCTCAGGGCTTCCGCTGCCGCCGAGTGATCCCACCGCGCTCACTCCCAGCAACTCCCGCAGCCGCCGCTCCGCCTGCTCCTCCCCGCTCGGTCCCCTCCCCCCACTCGTGCTCGCTTCCCCGCCCCCCTCTGCTGACGCGGCGCCAGGCCCAGAATGATAGATTCGACTGGGCCAAAATTAAAAACTTATGTACTGGGGAGGGCGTGGGGGGGGCAGAGAGGGGGAGGGGGTGCAGAGTAGGGGGAGGGCAGAGAAAAGGGAGGGAGGGAAAGAGAGAGAAACAAAGAGAGAGAGAGAAGGAAACAAAGAGAGACAGAGGACTAGAGAAGAGATAGGAGGGACAGAAGAAAGGGAGCCAGCTTCTGAAAAGAATAGCGGAATATATATCTTTATCTATAGCTATCTATCTATCTGTATAATTCGCTGTCAATAAAACAGTGTAAAGATGAAAGTCTGAATGAAACCGAATTCAAAAAGACGAAAATGAGTAAAAAATAAAGCTAAAAAAGCAAAAGAAAAAAACAGTAATCCCAGGGAAGGAAGAGAAGATTGTGCAGGAGCATGCTTTTTACAAAAGAAGTACAATTGGCCAATAGGTATTTGAAAGGATGGTTAAGCTCACTAATACTCAAAGAAATAACAATTAAAGTAAAATGAAAGTCGACTTCTGGCTTATAACTTTGGTAAAGAAGAAAAACAACAACAAACTCAATTATAGAGAGCTGATTAAATAGGCTAGCATAGCTATTGAAGTGTAAGTTGTAAAATAAGGCAATTTTAAAGTATACAGCAACATCTTAAGTGTTTCCACCTTTATTTAGAAATGACTGTTTAGTGACCGCACCTAGGAAAATAATTGGGTAAGATGCAAAAAAAGTATAAAGTTTGCAGTTTGTAATAATATATAATAAAGTGCAAAGTTTATAAAAAACTATTTTGTAAACATTTTGTATATGAACGCCTTTGTATGGGTAAAAGGAAAGCTGGAGACTATACATTAAAATATTATTGGTGGTTATTGAATGCTGAAATTATGAATACTTATAAATATTTCCTTTTTAAATAGCATTTGAAAATTGTGATTTTTATGTGCTGAATTTATATACATCTATCTATATATTTTAGCTCAAAAGGTATTTTGGGGAAAATTATAGTAGAATTGACAATACAAAATAGCAGTGACAGACAGTAGCATATTTACCTAATTTAGTTACAAATTAAACAGAAGAAATAAATTAAGATGTAATGCTTGAAGAGTAAAACTATTATTTCAAAATTATGTACAAATTTCTAACTGGCTTACACAATCCAGAAATTACACTTCTAACCTCAGTTAGCTTTTAATAACATTGGAAGGTCATTAGGTCACAAAGACTTTAATAAATCTCAGGTTAAGAAAAATATATGGGTATGTGATATCCATCAATAGGGTAATAGATTAATATAGTACAATGAATATATTAATAGAATACAGAAGATGAAAAGAATAAACTATATCTAAACATACATGTAAATAAAAAACTTAATTAGCACAACAATTTAAGGTGTTTATAGATGCATACATATATACAAGCTTTTATAAATATACTAGAACTGCTTGTGACAAACTTCTACACATGAGGAAGATGAAATAGAATAGAATAGAAGATAGTGATTAAAAGGAAATTAAATCTGTAAAAATGTATTCCATTTTTAAAATGGAAAAATGTCAAAATATAAATAAAGGTGATATAAAGTTGATGACCATAATACTATTTTTTTTGTATTTTTTAATTTTCTCAAAATATAAAGAAAAAGTTAAGAAAACATCACAAGTCATCTTAGTTCTCAATAGATGAAAAACTAGATATTAATAATGAAAGCGGGAACAAAATCTCAACCACTTGAAAATTAACACTGAATTAAACACTTTGGAACAAGACGTAAATCAAAGTTTTTATAACAATGAATTTAGAAAAAAAATGAGAACTTATGCATCAACAATTATAATGAAATTTTCCTGAATGTGGTCTGAGAATTTTTTTTATTTTAAATGCAGATATCTAGTTCCTTCTGCAAATTTATTGAAGTAAGTGATGCTCAGGAACTTATCAAATTCCAGTATAGGCCCTCCCTGGTGGCACAGCTGGTTAAACCTAAAGCCATTTCAGCATGAGTTCGATCCCCACCTGCCCTGGAGGGATCCACATGGCAAGGGCAGACCTCTCCCTGAACAGCCTGCTGCTCCCCTCAGCAGTGTACTTCATGGATCTGCCTGTTCTGCTCCCTACTCTGTCTCTGCTGAATCCTTTCACTGCCCCTGCACCTCTGGCCTGTACCCCAGCTCTGTATGCACAGATAAATAAATCTTTAAAACAATTCCAGTATAATTATATTTGTTTTAATAATTAGTATGTGAATGGACTCGTAATATTTATACACTCAAAGAACTTCAATATAAAACAATAAATGAATTGACCACTCAAATAAAAAGGACAACAGAAGAGCAGGGTTTTGGTTCAAAAATAATTTTTTAAAAACATTAATGAATAGACCTAGACATAAGAATGGAAACCATAAAATACCTAGAAGCAAAGATGGGTCAAACACTACAC